CCGTAAGCGGTAAGCGTAACATAATATTATGACTGGCCAAAATGATGCTAGGTTAAACGTCGCTACGCATTACAATGTGATCAAACAACCAGTCGAATCACTCTCTGTGGTACCAAGCCTCACACCTGTATGCACAGAATTGAGGCACATATTTTTCCCATGGCCTTGTTCATTCTGATTGACTACATTTTCGTAATAGGTACACGTAATTTCAATACCGAACATTCCGTTGACATTTACGACCAAACTTTGCATCACAATCTGACTTAACAACGGCCAATAGCTTGTGAAGTGAAGAACTGCTATAAATACACGGGCGGCGTCTAGGGCATTAGCCAATAATTATCTATACATGCTAGACTACACTGGGGTGGATAGTTTAAATCGATCGGAGCGATTCGGCGTCGAACACTAACAGATTCCATTCCGCTTGTTGCAGTCAGATTTCAACAACGAGCAGACCGTGGTTCGGTGCAAAGTTCGAGGTTAATGGCAGGACGTCGGATCAGCGCCGCCCCGGGCGGAGCTTAGTTGCTAGCCAAAGGGCGCCCACAAGGTCGCAACCCTCGCTACACGCTACTTGAGATACGTCACGGACGGTCGCTCCACCGGCGCGGTTGCCGACGAGCAGACGATCTTTCCTCTCACTGCGCTCTGCTTGCGTATCTTTGCGCCGAACTGTCGTGAGGTCGGAGGAACGACATCTCGGCGTCGACGGGCTCCGCTGCCGTGGCATGCGGCTGGACGTGACGCTCGGCGACCCCGGCCGGCGGCGTCCCGCCACGCTCCCGCGCGTCGCAAAGAGGCCGCCGCAGACGTATGTCCGCCTCGCGGCGACGGCGCCGGTATCTTGTTTGAACGGGTTGAAGGCGCGGACGCCGCGCGCCGCCGGACGAGCGACGACGACGACGTGAGACTGCCGTCGCTGCCGCCGCGTCGGCCGCGGGGTCGTCGCGCGGGTCGGCGCTGCGTCCGTCTCGCGCTCCGCATCCTGCACAGCTGCTGCGAGCTGCCCTGAAGCTCTGCGACCATCGTCTTGAACGTAGTCGTATGCGCGGCGCAGGCGTACGTCGTCTCATTCCACGCCTCCATGCTCTCGCTTGAACTGTCGGCGAGCAGCAACGTAGGTTGCCGTGCGCGCCGGCGAGCCGTGGAACCCACGTGAAGAGTAGGCTTCGCGTCGTCCTCGCGAGCTCGACCGTGCCATCCCCTCGAGGATGATGACACCGCACGGCTCTGCGTCGTGCACGTCGGCTCGAAGTAGAACAGCAGTTTTGCCCTTGAGGACGAAGTAGCTGCTGGCTGGTAAGGAACGGTTCACCTCGGGCCGCGACTTGAGGGCAGGAAGCCCTGCCGGTCGACAGACCGCGCTGACGTCAGGGCGAAACGGCACGACGTTGCGCTCGTTGATCTTCATCGTGCGGGAGGGGCCGCTTACCGCTGCCGCCGCCCGCGCCGCCGCTTTGATGCGCACTAAATGCCCAGGCAGAGGGCAGTGTTGTTGATGTCCGTCCCAGCTTGGTGAGCGGCAGGGCAGGGAGCGTTCGCCCAGGGGGAGCAGTGACGGAGGTCTGGGTTCAGTGGTTTGGTAGGGATGGAGGAAGGAGGGAGAGAGGGAGGGAGGGAGGGAGAGAGGGGCGGTCGGCTACTTGGCAGGGATGGAGTAGGCCAGGTAGGGGGAGGTCGAGTAAGGTAAGCGAGAGAGTCGCGGCGTGCAGGGAGCTTGAGGGGAGAAAGAGAGGAAGGAAGAGAGGGAGAGAGCACGCCCAGGAAGAAGGATTGAAGAGGTAGTTGGAGAGAGTCGCGGCAGCTCAGCGACCTGAGGGGAGAGATGGAGGAAGAGAAGGATGGAGGCAGTGGCCCGGGGAAGGAGGATTGAGGGGTAGTGAGAGAGCCGGCACTCAGCGACCTGCCTTCTCTGCTGACGGTTCGTATGAACGAGCAACCTCCATCGTCGCACTTCCACTGAAATGGTTACGATAACTCTACGTCCCTACGCCTGCAATAGCTCTACAAAGTTTTGGTCGGGAATGGCCGAAGGCCGTCTAATGCGTTAGAAAGGCATGGGCTAGCGAGCGAGATCGGTGCGTAACATGCAAAAAAAAATGATGCGAAAGAAAGATATAGGAACCGTATTTAACTCTCGACATACCGATTACTAACAATGAATCATCAACATGTTATGCAAATACAACAGTATACTAAAGTGTTGCTACTACTGAAGACTGATAGCGAGCAGATTGCTGTTCCTGGTGCATGCAGTATTTACCTGTGAATAAACAAAAGCCGATAACGACATGCCAAAATATAGTACATCACAGCGTATTGATGGCGGCGTCAAAAGATTTTTTATAACATTCCGCATAGATGCTTAGGCCAATAGATTTAAATTATTTGAATTTCGGCTACGGTGGACTAAGTCTGAAAGTGCACTAAGTAAAGGAAGTTTTCAACGATCAAGGCCTATCAATGCGATCGTATCTATGATGACTGACTGCTCACAGGTAATGCTACTGATCAACAGATGTATCTGAAACCGCATAACATAGGTGCAGCATCCTATGCCTTACGCGCTGTCTAAACGCTATGTGTAATATAGTTGTATTTAGCATGTCGTAGTTGTAGTAGTGTAACTGTAAGTAATAATAAATATATGAGCAAAGCAAGTTTCAGCCTGGCGGGTTCAGGATGTTTGATTGTGATGTTTACGATGCGTGCATTACAAGGCGCCAGCAGCGCCATCACTAAATAGAGGCTGCCACACTAGTAGTATATCATAGACTAAGAATATACGGACATAGATATAATATATGAATGAAGATCTTCATTATATATCTATAGAATAACAAGTTAGTAGCCGAAGAACGTCACACCCATAAAATATATATATATATATTATATATATATATATGATTATATATGTGGTTGGTATGGTTTATAATGTGTTATGTATTATATTATGCATGGTTTTATGATCTTGCAAGATCTTGGCAATTGTTCTATTATTTAGAGATCATTACCTTTCCAAGTCGCAATGCCAAATATCCGCCTCAATACCGCTTCTGGAATTTCCATAGGGCAGAGAGACGCTGCCTTCACACATCCCCAGTATATCTGCCTAATAAAATAATATTTCGGTTGAAATTATACTTTTGTAAATGGAGAGAATATACTCGGCACACCTATGCTCGCCACATTACCTTGTCACAGAAGAATAACTCCCGATGCATCTTTTTTAATACATTATAGTGTGTCCGTGTTTTCTGGGATGCTAATGAAATTAATATATATATATATAGTTATATAATAATATATAAACTTATATTGTGTGTGTGGTGTGTGTGTTGTGTGTGTGTGTGTGCGTGGCGTGCGTGCGGCGGGCGTGCGTGCGTGGCGTGCGGTGCGTGCGTGCGTGCGTGGGTGTGTGTGTGTTGTGTGTATTGTGTGTGTGTGTGTGTGTGTGCGTGCGTGGCGTGCGTGCGTGCGTGCGTGCGTGCGTGCGTGCGTGTGTGTGTGTGTGCCACACAGACACAGCGCACTGCGCGACTAACGCACACATCACCATATATATATATATATAATATATATATATATATATATACGCACGCGCGGTACACACACACCACACAGCGCATAATATATATGTATATATATGTATATTATATATATATATATATATATATATATATATATATTCGCCACAGCGCGTACACCATACACACACACACCACACACACAGCACACACACACACACACGACGTGCGCGGCGCAGCATCTACATACACACACGACAGGTCGCTGACGCGTCAGCGCCTATCTCTGTTCATTAGTACAGGAGGGACATTCCGCAGATTTATAACAATATATAACTAATATCCGTAAACAATGTAACATTATCGCCGATATTGTATATTTTTATAGTCCTGTTGTTGACAAAACATTGTTTATTGCAATACAATAACAACACTTTACACACACCGTGTGTGGCGGCTTTAGTACAGTGTATATGTACAAACACACACATATATAATATATATATATTATATATATACGCAATACGTTTCTGTTTACGTTCGTGGAACGGTTAGTTTACGTTTCAGCTGACCTCAGGGTTAAACACTACAATCCCTCCCCTTTTCAAACGTAAGCCGAGCCGGCTCGAGGAAACGTCGAAGGGAAATCGCACGCATATCGCGTCGTTACGCCATCTATCGCCCGCCACTACACTAATGTACACTCATGTACAGTGATGTGAAAAAATACTAAAAGTGTGTTTTTACAGGAAACCAAGCGCGCCGAGTCGCCAAAAATCTTATACGAGCATTTCAAGCAATTGTCAAGCTACATGGGTAGTCAAATCCGTCGTCCAATCGCTAGAACTGCTCAACTCAGCGAGCTTGCTGCTTGCCTTATATATGTAAACCCGTTGAAGGTGATGGAATGGTGGCAGCGAAATCGTGTTAGAATGCCGCCCCTGGCGGCGTTGGCGCGCTTCGCGCGGATATCCGGGCTGCAGACTGTCCAGAAAAACACGACACACTATAATGATTAAAAAGATGCATCGGGAGTTATTCTTTGTGACAAGGTAATGTGGCGAGTATATTCTCTCCATTACAAAAGTATAATTTCAACAAAATATTATTTTATTAGGCAGATATACTGGGGATGTGTGAAGGCAGGTCTCCTGCTATGGAAAATTCCAGAAGCGGTATGAGGCGGTATGATGCGACTGGTGGGTAATGATCTCTAAAATAATATGACAATTGCAAGGTTGCAAGATCATAAACCATGCATATGATACATAACACATTATAAACCATACAACCACATATATAATCATATATATATATATATATGGGTGTGATCTTGATACTAACTTGTTATTCTATAGATATATAATGAAGATCTTCATTCTATATTATATCTATGGTTATTCTTAGTCTATGATGATACTACTAGGTGGCGCCTCTATTAGTAGATGGCGCTGCTGGCGCTGCTGGCGCTTGTAATGCACGATCGTAAACATCACATCAAACATCCTGAACCCGCAGGTGAAACTTGCTTTGTCATATATTTATTATTACTTACAGTTACACTACTAACTACGACATGTAAATACAAACTATATTACACATAGGTTTGGACAGGCGTAGGCATAGATGCTGACCTATGTTATGGTTTCAGATAATCTGTTGATCAGTAGATTACCTGTTGAGAATCGTCATAGATACGATCGATGATAGGCCTTGATCGTTGAAACTTCCTTTACTTAGTGACTTTCAGACTTAGTCCCCCCGTAGGAAATTCAATGAATTTAAATTATTGGCTAGATCTATGGGAATGATAAAAAATCTTTGACCCGATCAATACGTGTGATGTAGTAATATTTTGGCAATGTCGTTAATCGGCTTTTGTTTATTCACAGGTAAATACTGATGGAGTGATGCACCAGGACAGCATTGTCGCTATCAGTATCAGGTAGCAACACTAGTATACTGTTGTATTTGATACATGTTGATGATTCCATTTGTTAGTAATCAGTATGGTCGAGGTTAAATACGGTTCTATATCTTTCTTTCCGTCATTTTTTTGCATGTTACGACGATCTCGCTCGCTAGCCCATGCCTTTCTACGCATTGAGACGGCCTTCGGATTCCCGACCAAAACTTTGTAGAGACTATTGCAGGCGTAGAGTTATCGTAACCATTTCAGAAGTGCGACGATGGAGGTTGCTCGTTCTTAACGAACGTCAGCGGAGAAGGCAGGTCGCTGAGTGCCGGACTCTCTCACTACCCCTCCAATCCTCCTTCCCCGGGCACTGCCTCCATCCTTCTCTTCCTCCATCTCTCCCCTCAGGTCGCTGAGTGCCGGACTCTCTCACTACCTCTTCAATCCTTCTTTCCTGGGTGCTCTCTCCCTCTCTTCCTTCCTCTCTTTCTCCCCTCAAGTCCCCGACCGCCGGACTCTCTCGCTACCTTATCGACCTCCCCCCTACCCTGGGCACTCCATCCCTGCAAGTAGCCGACCGCCCCTCTCTCCCTCCCTCCCTCCCTCTCTCCCTCCTTCCCTCCATCCCTACAAACCACTGACCCCAGACCCTCCGTCACTCCCCCTGGGGAACGCTCCCGCCCTCGCCGCTCACCAAGCTGGAGGACATCAACAACCACTGCCTCTGCCTGGGCGTGCGCATCAAGCGGCGGCGCGGCGGCGGCAGCGGTAAGCGGCCGTACCCGACGATGAAGATCAACGAGCGCAACGTCGTGCGTTTCGCGACGTCAGCGTCGGTCGTCGACCGGCAGGGCTTCCTGCTCAAGCGCGGCGAGGTGAACCGTTCCTTCCAGAAGCGCTACTTCGTCCTCAAGGGCAACCTGCTGTTCTACTTCGAGCGGCGCGACGACGCAGAGCCGTGCGGAGTCATCATCCTCGAGGGATGCACGGTCGAGCTCGCCGAGGACGAGCGAGAGCCGTACTCGTTCAACGTGGTGTTCCACGGCGCGGGCGCACGCACCTACGTGCTGTCCGCCGACAGTCAGGAGAGCATGGAGGCGTGGATGAGACGCGTCGCCTGCGCCGGATACGACTACGTCAAGACGATGGTCGCAGAGCTTCAGCGGCAGCTCGAGGAGCTGGAGGATGCGGAGCGCGAGACGGATGCGGCGCGACCCGGCGACGACCCCGCGGCGACGCAGGGCAGCGACGGCAGTCTCACGTCGTCGTCGTCGTCGTCCCGCGGCGGGCGTCCGCGCTTCAACCCGTTCAACAAGATCCCGGCGGTCGGCGAGGCGGACATCTTCTGCGTGCGGGCGAGCGCGGGACGTGGCGGCGACGCGCGGCGGTCGCCTAGCGTCACGTCCAGCCGCAGCCACGGCAGCGGAGCGTCGAGCCGAGAGTCGTTCCTCGACCTCCACGAACAGTTCGGCGCAAAGATACGCAAGCAGATCGAGGAGAGGAAGTCGTCGTCGTCGGCAACCGCGCCGGTGGAGCGACCGTCCGTGACGTATCTCAGTAGCGTGTAGCGAGGGTTGCGACCTTGGGGCGCCCTTTGGCTAGAACTAGCTCCGCTCAGGGCGGCACGATCGAGTCCGCCGTATAACCTCGAACTTTGCACCGAACCACGGTCTGCTGTTGTGAAATCTTGATGCAACAAGGAAATGGAATCTGTTAGTTGTTCGACGCCGAATCGTCCATCGATTGAAACTATCCACCCCAGTGTAGTCTAGATGTTAGATAAATTATTCGCTGATGCTAGACGCCGCGTGTATTTATAGCAGTTCTTCACTCACAGCTATGGCGTTGTTAAGTCAGATTGTGATTGCAAAGTGTTTGTCGTAAAGTCAACGAATGTTTGGTACTTTGAAATTACGTGGCCTATTACGAAATGTGTCAATCAGAATGAAAAGGCCATGGAAAAAATGTGCCTCAATTTGTGCATACAGGTGTGAGGCTTGGTACACAGGAGTGATTACGACTGGTGTTGATCACATTGTAATGCGTGCGAGCGTTTAACTAGATCATTTGGCAGTCATAATATATGTTACGCTTCGTTACGGTTAGAGTCATTTCATTAGTATCCCGGTATGTTAAAAGTATTATGTAGTATGCATTAAATGATTGTTAGTTACAATTGGCAAGACAAGTAAATTCTTGATTGTGATTTTTTGTATAAAACATCGAGTTGTTGTTGACTTCTGAATGATTATGCTCTTACTATACTGGTGCATGATGTTACCAGTAATTTCTTGTAATATTATATATTAGTATATATGCTTCTATTTATGAATCGTCTTTATTTGATCAATATTAGTCTACAGTGAGCTAATGCGTTTTTCCAAAGTTTTATATTGAATCAATATTCATGTTTAAGATATGTATTTGTGAAATTTCCGACGTATTAAATTGCACCTTTTTCATCCAGATGGAAAAGTGTTTCATTGAAAAATTCTTCTTACTTCTGCATGGTGTTATAAACGTTCGTGCACAAGAACAAAACAACTGCGTAAAATTCATAGAACAACGGCATTGTCTCCATATATTCCGTCGTTTTCTTCACAATTCCTATAGACAAAGTCAAGAAAACACAGAGTGGTACCGTACAACTGTCACCTAGTATCACCATTGTTCCCAATATGTGAGAATAAACAATGCCTTGATAATAACGCATTCGAAATGAAATTCGAGATAGGAAACTCTGACACCACACGGGCAGATCAGATGCGGGGTACTCCCAATTAATACTCATTAATGGCCTTGCACATTTCCAAACCCGTGCAAATGACATTCGAACAATAAATAAAGTGCCTCGTGTAAGTGTGGCACGATGTGAGAGCTCCAAATGCCTGAACGAAAAATTGTGGTCAAAAGCGCAAAAGCATAATGTCGTGTCAAAATCCCAGCACGAGTGTCTTCATAAAACAACATGCGCGTATGTGGGTAGGAACAATACCTTCATAAATCAATTTTTCCCAATGGTAGACATGCTAGAGTGTAAAAAAGATGATATATATATATATATATATATATATATATATATATA